AGGGTTCTAGGTCTATGACAAACGTCACCAGCCAATGTGACCTCATAATAGAAATGTCCTTTACTTTCTGGAATACTACATTTTCACGGATTAGCAATGAATTAACCATGGTTAACCCTAGGAGAAAGGAGATTACCGTTGCTGTCATGTTCCTGTGAACAGAGATAACAACAAAATAACCTATCATTCCTTTTTGTTTCCTACATCCCATTCCCAAGATGATTCAACATTACAAAAGGCCTACAATTGCCTCCAGTAATCGTTTTGTCTTTGCGTTGTGTTCTGTGTCACCGTCTGTTTCTGTGCGTTGCCTATTACCGTCAATAACATTGATCTCCATCAATTCAGTGTCTGCGTCATCTAGTTCATCACTATACTCATCATTGCTAAGAATAGGGTCATGTTTTGTGGGTCCAGCAATTCTTACCCTTTTGTTTGTTATTTCAGCATTACTTTCAGAATGTGCTTGTTGTAACCGACTCCTCATACGTCTAGATAATTCAGTGAGGGGAATATCGTCTTCGTCGAAAGAGGGATCTCTTTCTTTCCTGAATCTCCTAGCTATCTTTATCTAGAGGTGTGTCACTGTCATCACCACTGTCTGTTTCACTGCTTTCTGGGGATACTACCAAAGTTGCTTTTCGACGGGCCCTAGTGTTTCCTGATTGTGGAATTTCCCAATCATCTATTTTAGCTAATCTCAAGTTTCCTGCATGTGCTTCGATAGTCGAGCCATCTAACTGATTTCTGATGACAAACGTAAGAGGGGACTTTTGTTCAACGACTCGATAGTATGGAACCCACTTGCTTTGAAGTTTGCTTTGCCGTTGACGGCGTTGATAGTAGACAGGGTCACCTACTTTAATTTCAACTGGCTTTGCATTCTTGTCTGCATAATGCTTCTGCCTACGCTTTGATTTCTTCAAATGTCTATGCACTAATGTGAAGGCTTTGTGCTGTTGTTGCAAAGCTATCTTGTGTTCTTCTTCGCCTGCATACTTTCGCCTAGGCTTCAGAAGGTTATCTAAGGGTAACACAACATCCCTATTGTATTGCAGGAAGTAAGGAGAGAATTTGGAAGATTCACTAATATTAAAGTGAACTGCAGCCAATGCTTGGTTCAAATATAGGTCCCAGGTAGTGAGGTCATCTCTTAACTTTTTGGAGAGCAGGTCATGAAGGGTTCTGTGGAATCTTTCTACCCTAGCATTTCCCTGGGGTTGGTAGTAGGACGTGGTGATGTGATCAATGTTTAGTGTCTCCAAGGGTTCTCTCATTACTCTATTCACGTTTTCAGTGCCATTATCTGTGACTATTTGTAAGGGGCAGCCAAATCTGGGGAAAATCTCTTCAATTAACAGATGCGCTACATTTTCTGCACTTTTGTCAGGTACAGCAAAAGCCTCTGGCCATCCTCTATAATGATCTACAAAACTGATGATGTATCTATTCCAAGAGAGAGACCTCGGATAGGGTCCCGACAAGTCTAATCCTATTTTTGCGAATGGGTAAGGAGGGATGTCTGTTTCCTGAACGGGTGTTTTTTTGTTTCCTCATTACTCTTTCCTGACAAGGGACGCACTGACTGATGTGTTCATAAAGGTGTTTATACATCTTAGGCCAGTAATATTTTTGCTCGATGGAGTCATATGTTTTGTCAATACCCATATCAGGTAACACTAAGGCCGATGCTGCAGCAAAAGCAGCTCTCGAAAAGCCCCTATCTCCACTGCTAATCCCATACAGTGACTTCAAACCCACTATCAAAAGCTATACTCGGGACCTGATGCAAAAAAGGTGGGACACTCAAGTAGGAAGAAACAAACTCCATGAATTGAAGCCAACAATCGGTTATACCTACTTGGGTTGTCAGTCAAGACGTGATGAGGTAATTTTACGACGATGTCGTATTGGCCACAGTCGATTTACACATGACTATCTGCTGAAAACGGATGGGGATGGACCCCCCCCATGTGTGTCTCTTGCGATGAGGTGTTCACCGTCAAGCATATTCTGCTTGAATGCGTGGACTTATCGCCTGCAAGGGACTCACATTATGAAGCAACAAACCTAAAAGATCTGTTCTCACGCGTGAGCGCCCATCTGATACTGAACTACCTGAGGGAAGTTGATCTGTATCATAAATTGTAACTGTGAAATGTAACAACCATAAATTGTAACTATGAAATATAACACACCGCCTGCCTTTAAATTTGATGCTATGACTTTTTCTGCTTTTAAATGACAATGTAATCAATAAATGTCTTTGAAACAAAACTCATTCCGAGTATGTACTTACAATATTTACTAATGCAAACTTGTTCTCGTCACTATATGGCTGGAAAAATGCCAATGTGACGTAAAGCCCAACTCAACTCAACTCAACTCATTAGGGTCAGATACATAGTATACCACATCATTCATGATGATTACCCTATTCTGCTCTATCTTGCCTGCCTGTCCTGTTTGAAGAGCTCTTTTTGCCTCCATAATCCTGACATATTTTGCTTGCTCAGTTGCCATGTCATATCCCGACATTCCTACTTTGGATCTAACAGGGGTTTCCTGTGTTTCAACTTCGCAACTAGCATATGTCTTTGGGGCAAATCTATTCGAATTTAGTGCATTGATTTGGAATGTGTTGTCACTAATTTCAATCTCGTCCTAGGGTCTTTGGTCAATGTCATACACCCTATCTTCTACTTTTGGTTTGTCCTCGGGCAGCCTGGACAATAGGTCAGTGCAAGTATTCTCAGTGCCTGCAATATATTCGATCTTGCAATTATAGCCATTAATTCCAATTGCCTACATTTGAATCTTCCTGTTCTGCATTGGAGATTCTAGTAGATACCTAAGTGGTTTGTGGTCAGTTCTAATGATGAATTCTGCATTGTGTAAGTAGTGATCTAGCTTCTGTAATGCATAATGAATAGCATAAGCTTCCTTTTCTATTGTGGATCACTTAGTCTGGGAATCACTTAGTTTATGGGACAAAAAGTAGATTGGTTTCTCATTGCGAATACCCGGGAGGAGATCCGTATCCTCATCACAGGTCTGAGTCAGACACGCTCCAACACATGTGTCACTAGCATCTGTGTATAACACATATGGCTTGTTCGTGTCAGGGTATGCCAACAATGGGACAACAGTCAGGCTGTCTTTCAAGAAGTCGAACGCTTCTTGACACTCTGTTGACCATTTGAACTTGGCATACTTCTTTCTCAGCGCTATTATGGGTTCAGCTACTTTTGAAAAATTTGGTATAAACCTCCTGTAGTAGCTGCACATTCCCATAAAGCTTCTGACCTCCCTAACCGTGGAAGGGGGGACATTGACCTTATGGCCTCCACCTTTCTCAGAGGATGCGATATCAGTTTCACGATACGGTTCAATGATCTAAAGTCCACGCAAAAGCGTTTACTTCCGTCTTGCTTGTCTACTACTACAATGGGAAAACTCCATGGTGACCTTGATCTTTTGATAACCCCTGCTGCTAACATGTCATCTATTGCTTTATCTACTATCTTTCTTTTGTTCAAGGGAGTCTTGTAAGGTTTCAGTTAAATTGGGGCATGGTCACCTGTGTCTAATTTCATCTTAACTGTGTCAGTATGACTCAAGTCCATGTCCGTCAGTGCAAACAAGTCCTTGTTCCGGTTCAGCAGTTTTGTGATATCTTCCCTGTGTTCGCCAGGTACATTAATCTCTGCCTCAGCTGTCTCATTAAGTAGTCCTGTCGCTTTGGGTTTCGTCCCATCTATCATATCTTTCAAACCTACAGTAATTGCCTCAGGCACGGCTTCTATTTTCCCCATTATACATCCCTTCTTTAGCCTGAAGGTCTTATTTGTGTTATTTACTATCATTACCGGGATTTCTCCTTTCTTATTCAGTTTGCCGACAGAATTCCCTAGCATTAAACCTGGCTCAGAATTGATGTAGTCTTCCCCATTTCCTTTAATTTCATACAAAGTGGTGGTATCGAAATATGTCTTTTTCCTAGCACGAGCCTTGACTACATTAACTGTTTGGGGTTTGACGACCGACTTGGTTGTGAGTCTGATTACCGACGCTACTTGTATATCCTCCTCTAAGGGAACATAGGCTTCACCTACTTTTAGTCGCCCCAGGTCGAAATAGAGCCTTACCCCATTTTCTGTTAGCCACTCACGACCTAGAATTACATTGCGATTGATGCCTCTGACAACATAGAACATATGTTCCATGGTTTGCTTTCCTATCTTGAACGGTACTTTGATACATCCTTCCACAGCCAATGGGCCACCGTCTACTGACTGTAAGGAAATGTTTTCTGAGGTTGTTGTTGGTGTCCCCTGCAATACCTCTTGTACCCTGGGATGAATTAATGATACCTCTGCCCCCGAATCCACTAAAGCCCTATATCTACGTTTTCCTATTGATATTACACATGAATTTGGATTCCCCGCCAACGTGACGTTAGTTCCTTCTTAACTACCGCCCATGTACTGCCTGGGTTATCCTGTATATATCTCTGTAGAAAATCGCTTACTGGTCCCCGACTACACTGAAAAGCCACTAATCTTATCCTATCCTCTGGAATGCCCGCTAAGCTAACATACTTATCTAGGGACTTTATCCACTCTTTAAATTTCTTAGGATCGTGTAACACACTCCTTCAAATGGCTGGACATATTGCGATAAACCCTGTGAAGTTATCGCCTGTCCCACTTGTCCCATTCTTGATTCTAACGTTGCTGACAGTGGCCCTATACCGGCCATTATGGTTTCCGGTAGCTTCCCTAATTGTACTGCTATATGGTTAAAAAGTGCTTCTACACCTTCTGCCATTTTTCGTACGACCTTTTTTAAACGACCTAGACAAAATAAAATTCCTCAGACTGCCTTTTTTTACTGTCACAACAACCTATTTCCTCAACCTTGTTATCAATAATACTTATCAACAGTAATGTTCCTACTGTAACAGATACCTAACAACTACCAGCAATAATCCACACAGTCAGAAATGGTCCCCGAGGAGAGAGATGGTAACAGAGAGAAAACCAAGAGTCACTTACCTAGTACTTGATGTCTTTTCCTGAATCCGGGTCACGGCACCAAAAGAAGAGTCCCTTACGTGTAACACAACACGCTTCGCTGATTCAGGAAGGTAATTTTATTAAAGTCTAGAGTACAGCTAACTGGATTGACTCTGGTTCTGGCTCTGGCTCGGTTCCCTTTTCTGCTGTGTGCTGCTGGAGGAGTTGTAGGTTGTGTGTCAGTCGACCTGCTGTCTCGCCGTTTCTTGCTCTCTCTCTCTCTAACAAAACACTCGTCTTTTTAAAGGCAGTGGATCGTGACCTCCTTTTTACCCTTGGTCACGCGGTCTTGACAGGTTTATCACGATTAATCTCCGGCACTGGAAGGAGGACACTTCCCCCATAGCCTCCGGCTATCGCACCTGGTTATTTGGCACTTGACATATAACCCCTGTCTAAAGTGTCTGGTCATTGTCTTTCACCTACTGTTTTGGGCGATGTACTGTGACAGTGACCCATAATTTACTATGTAAGCTACGTCTTTTAACTGAGGGTCATAGATCGTAACTGTCCGAATAATCACGCTGTTTCCTGTATACGTGACCATCCCCATGGTAGCTTGACCCTCGTAACAGTTTTTCACTGTATAGCTGTGTTACACCAGTATTAGTATTCAGATATTAGATCGGGGCTTGTCGTATCCCATGGCCAGTTGTGTCAGGATGTCATTCACTGGACTGTCTGGTCCAGATTCGGTTATTTAGAATTTTGACAGTTTCTCTGTGTCCAGTGATCCATAGTGGTCGGGGCTTATTTCGTGGACGCGGCCTATCTTGCCGAATGAAATTGTAGCCTGGAATTTCAAAGGCCGATTGTGGCGATAATTTGGTTTCTTGAAAAGCTATTATTTAGGGTTGAATTTTGTCTTGGGCGACGAGTGTCTTCAGCTCATACACGTTTCCTCGCAGTTCATTGCAATTTCACTTTGAAATAGCCATAGTTCGGGAAATTTGCAAGATTAGTTTATGAAGGACCATGGGTGACGCTATAATTTTGTTGTAACGACATGTTAAGCTAGCTTAGTGGGAGGATTAATTAGATAATGGTTTTGATGGTGATAAGTAAAATACTCAGACCTTTGTGGTATAACTTGGTTTTTGGTACGAGTACATGTGCTGCATGTTCTTCCATAAGCTGCAATGAATTAAATTAGTTTGTTGATTTTTTGTGAAGTGAGTGTGTTTGCAGGCAGAGGGTGTGCTGGAGTTTTTTTGTTTTAGGTGGGTTACGTGTGATAGTGGTTGTGGGTGAGGGTTGCTTTGGGAGGGTGGTGGAAGTAAGTTCAGGGTGTTGGTGGAGGTTGTGCGTTTTTGGGGAGGGATGGCGGCAGTGGGGGTTGTGTAGGACACAGTGCTTGGGGGTGGGGGTGGGGGGTGATGGTAACGGAGAAGGCCTTGCAGGTTTGTTTTAGTGGGGAAGAGAGGGTGGTTCCGGTGGGTGGGGAGGTACAATGAGCTGGGTTGGGCGTTACTTGTGGATTTTAGTGGAAGGAGGAGGTTATTGATAACGGATGATAGAGGTATCTGAAAGTGTATTTAATGAGTGGTTAGAAAGGAGGGAGCGGTGTGCCAGGTGAATGGGTGCAGGTTTGGGCAGGACAGATTGTTTAAGGTGTTTGTTGAGCCTGAGAATGTGTTTTTGTTGTATAAGGTAGGTGTTTTGATTTAATGTGTGTTCTCGTGTGTCGCAGTGTATACAGTATCTGTTCCATGTCCATTCACCGATTGAGTGTGTTTCTGATCCGCATTTTGGACAAAATGGCAGTGCTTTGCAAGTGTCGCGGGTGTCTGTGTATGAAAAGCAGAGTTTACATTGTGGGATTTTTTCCTGAGGGGGTGCACTTAGAACTGTACTGGACTAAACGTGATGTAACTTGGGAGGGTGGTTGATCTGAATGTGAGGAAAGCGGTTTGTGTGGTTGGTGTTTGTTGCGGGTTGTTTGTTTTCAATGGATTTGAAATATGTGATTTTTGGTTGTGCGGTGATAGTGTAATGCTTTTTTTGGTGTTGAGAACAGTGAGGTTGAGGGTAGGGTGGAGGAGGACATGAGGGGGTTGGGGGTGGAGTTTCACCTCTCCCGGCTACGACTTACCCCTACCAGCTCCAGCATACATTGTCTTCTCCGACGTCTGCGCCCCTAGCAAACACTCCATTTCGATCCCGTCTTATCAATCACCCTCACCAACAATCTCCCACCTCTCCCCTCAGGCATGGCTACCCACCCAATCTTCCCTACCAAGCAAACTCGCCTTCTTTGCTCCCTCCCCCCTCCTTTAAACCCTTTATGTTTATTTTATAGGCCCCCTTATCTATACCACAATACAGCTTAACTGTATTATCTATATAAAGTCAACCTATGCCATACCTATCTCCCAATTCCCCTTAAAGGCAGGCAATTTGTTAGTGACATTACACAGTTACAATTTATGATGGTTAATATTGTATAATCTGAATTTTGGCTGTATACTAGTTCTAACTGTCACCTAAACGATGTTGGTGACATATTGCCAAACTAACATGTAAAATTATAATAAACAGACAAAAAATAACTCTTGTATAAAACTGTAGGAAAACTGGTTAAATTGTAGTGTAAGCAGGGGGGCAGGGGCTTCATAACGGGACATTCAAACAATAAGTACCACATAGTGTTGTAGCACTTTGTTTCACTTGCTCTACTATGGGATAACTTTTTGACCGGGGTTACCGTTCATCATAGCGCGACCGCCTCCGTGGTGTAGTGGTTAGAGTGGAAGGTTGCGGGTTCGATCCCCGACCGCGTCATACCAAAAGACGTTAAAATATGGTACTTGTTGGTCCCTGCCTGCACAAGGACTGGTCGGCTCGGAGTCAGTATAATGTGTCTGATTGGCGCATTCATGCTTCACTGCGGCATGGTATCTCAGTGGGCTAGCACTGTAAAACCAGCTTAAGTCTGGGCTAGTACTAGAAGCCGCACATACACATACACACGCATGCACGTCGTCATATGAGCGAAATATTCACAAGCACGACGTTAAACCCAATTTCACCTCACCTCACCTCACAATAGCGCTAGATACATTGGGTAGGCCACGTAGTTGGCACTAAATATGTTGGGTAGGCTCTGACTGGCGGAGATGAACTCTGACCCATGTCAGAGGTCGTTCTAGAGCGCTATATACGTTATCTGGCTCGCTGGATTCAGTGTCTATCTCTCGGTCATCCGAGCAACATCAGGTAATATATCTGACACGAGGTCCTGTTTCAGGATCATTCCCTCCCCGTTGACAGCGTGGAATGTTTGGTCTTAAGTAGGGGGATGCTAGGTTCCTGTTACTAGTGCTAGGTCGGGTTGAGGGGAAAAGTAGAAGTAGGAAACGGAATAGGAATTAGGGTATAAACTTTGGGTAAATGTTCAGTTAAACAGGGTTGGTTTTGGTGTTTTTTTCAGAAGGAGTGTACAGGCTTTCATGTATCTGGATCTTTAATCAGCTATGTGAGTGAGAGAAATGTGTCATTTATAAGCTGTTAAGTTTTTGTTTGTATTTTCTACCTATTTTATTGTAATAATCTATTGTTATTGTTCTTTTTGTCTGTTTTTTCTCAATAGGCTTTATGCCCGATTCACGAACTGGTCACTGAGTTTTGAGTAGAGAAAAAGTCAACCTGAACGCACACCTATAAAAGAAAAGTACACAACGCCAAGTCCAAGAAAGGTTGATTCATCATCATGTTCCTACATACTACCTAGCTTAACTCAGCTGTCACTAGGCGATGGTTAGACACTGATCGTAAGTCAGGTAACTTTAGTGCAATGTTAAAGAACGTTAGTTACGTTTAACCTGAGTAAAGGTTGCTTCGTGAAAGGAGCCCCTGTTCACTGGCTAACAGAGACAAAAAAGCTAGGTTTAGGTACAGTCTGTCCATGCTTTATAACCTGGCTAAGGCCGCTTCACCATTGGCTGTCCGTCCACTGTGTGTCGGCGGAACTGTAGTGCACGGACTTCACGTGGTTGAAACTGACACCACACACGGGGACTCGCGTCAGGACGGCAGAAGTTCAGCTCTTTATTCTTGGGTAGTCTGTATTTTAAGACAGCCAGTATGAGAAATGACAAAATACTCACCGATGTCCCCCTTACTCTGCCATGCATAACTTGTTTTGGTCGCTTTGTGGCTGAAATACAGTTGGGTACCCCAGCAACGCGTCTTTCACCATACGGATAGATATTTTGTAAATTCTAATGGGAGGGTTGTTGATTTGAATGTGAGGTATGTGGTTTGTGTGGATGGATTGTTTGTTTTCGATGGATTTGAAATCTGTGATTTTTGGTTGTGAGGCGATAGTGTTGGCTATGTGGATATATTCTTTGATGTCCGTGAGTGTTTCCCTTGCGTCTACGTGTGTGACCCCCTGTGTGTATGTCTGCCAACGTGGTATTTGCCAACTAATGTCAACTATCATAGTTTACTCGAGAGTGAGTTGGTCAGTGAATGGAATGTTAAAGCCTCCGCCGCAACTGTTGATGTAATTGTATAGTATTTGCTGTTGTTGTTGTTTTTTGTGGGTTTAGGGATTAATGTGGGGGTCATGGCCTGGCGTGGGGAGGTATATGATGGTTGGGAGTGAAGAAGTGCGTCGAGGCCGAAGTTGATTGGTATGGTTGTTGGGAGAGGTGAGTGCAGGGAATGCTTTTTTGGGTGTTGAGAACAGTGAGGTTGAAGGTAGGGTGGAGGAGGACATGAGGGGGTTGGGGGAGGAATTAAGTTGAGTTTTAGAGCAATTTGGTTTTCAGGCGATGTGTTGTTTCGCCAAAATTAGTGTCAACAAGAATCACCACTGTCCTTTCCTTGCCGCTGGTGTTCCCCAGGGTGGCATCTCCAGACCAGTCCCTTTCCTTGCCGCTGGTGTTCCCCAGGGCGGCATCTCCAGACCAGTCCCTTTCCTTGCCGCTGGTGTTCCCCAGGGCGGCATCTCCAGACCAGTCCCTTTCCTTGCCGCTGGTGTTCCCCAGGGCGGCATCTCCAGACCAGTCCCTTTCCTTGCCGCTGGTGTTCCCCAGGGCGGCATCTCCAGACCAGTCCCTTTCCTTGCCGCTGGTGTTCCCCAGGGCGGCATCTCCAGACCAGTCCCTGGCTACTCCAATGGCCTTGTTTACCTCAGCTTCCGTGGCCTCCTCATCCATGTAGGAACTATTCCCGTCAGTGGTTGCGGTAGGGACCTGTGTGTATGAGTTTCGTAAGGAAGGTTGAGGTAGAATTTCAGTTATTCAATTACATCCCCGTCTGACATGTCCAACCTCATGGCACAGTAAACAGGGAAGACACCATTCTTTGATGTGACGTTGACGAGACGGGGAATCCTGGCTACACCCTCCAAACGTGTTTCATGTACAACTTCATGTGTGCCCAGAAGTATTCCTGAGTCGAACTCCACAGTTTCCTCTTTAATTGAAATTACTCTCCCAAACACCGACGAGAATCTTGCAAAATCGCGTGTCCATATTCCTCAGGAAGCCAATGCAGTCTAAATGCTCTCCTCGCATTGTTCACAAGAGAAATGTGGTCAGGGGTTTATAATAACTATTAATAACCGTTTTTTTATTTTAATGTAATGACGTATGAGGGTCAATTAACTTATATGAATTTGACTATCTAAAACAGTAGATAAAACAAAAATATAATGTCTCCATGGACAACAAGGCGGCGAGTAACAAGATGACTTCCAATAGATAACAGGAAATCCCTTCTATCTTAATAATAATTTGGAGCATAAATATTCCTAAATCTGAAGCAATTATTATCAGTATCTTAAACCAATAGCCTGCCGTCAAAATCATAATGAAATTTAACAAAAATAATTTTTTGAGATTAAAATGCCAACCCCACGTGCATTTCCCGTCCCAAAACTCAAGAACTTCATAAGGCTTTAGAGTCAAATTCTTATTCTGCAATCTCTCCCTCTTTCACATAGGCTTGCAACTTTTTTTTATGTGACACGGTATGTAGACATGTGTAACCATTGAAAAACACATTAATACAATAAAAATTCAGTAACACTTGAATATGAGGTGAGGTGAAATGTGGTTTAACGTTGCACTTAAGAATACTTCACTGATATGACGCGCCTTAGTGTGTATGTCTGCTGCTTGTACTAGCCCAGGCTTAAGCTGGTTTTATAGTGCTAGCCAAAGCTGTATATCAATAATCCCTTCTTTAGAATTGCTGTCCTGGGGCGTGTCCGAATCGTCATCACGATATCACCACATTTTGTTTTGTCACATCTGAGTTCGAAATCTTGGGGCATGTACAAGTTGTTATTTAGATGGAGAGGTACAATAATCGAATCACGCTACAGGACGTCCAAACTTACTGTACTCTGACTGTGGCGTGTGGTTTTAGTTGCCATCCTCCTTCAGTGCTGTCAAGCACAATCCTTGATATAGTCACAAATGGGACAACCGACTGATTCATTCTGCAGAGATTTCTTATGGATGTGGAAAGGGTCTTACTGATCCCCTCGACCTCTGCTTCTGTCTCCTCTTCACCATTCATGATGGAACTGTTTCCTTTCTTGTGCGGGTAGGACTTCTTTAAGGAACGCCTAAGTAAATTATTATTACCACCCTGCATTACTGAAATGCAGCAGTGAAGCATGAATACCCCCGCTCAGACACATTATACTGACTCCGAGCCGACCAAACCTTGTTGTACCAATTGCTGCGGAGTGCGCAAGGCAGGGACCAACAAGTACCCTATTTTAATGTCTTTTGGCATGACGCGGTCGGGGATCGAACCGTAAGTCAATTAAGCGTGTAAGTCAATTAAGCCAAAAGGATGGATCCAAAACCCATTTGCTGACGATGCTCCACAGAGAAGAAACAATATGACAAAGAATAAATGCTCAACAGACTCGTTTTCATTACAAAAAGTACATTTTTATAAGGAAATGACGTCTACAGCAAAGGGTAAAATTAGTGGGACAATATCGTGAAGGAGAAGCCATGATAAATTGTTGAGAAGAGGGATCAAGAAACGAGTCGTTGAGCAATAAAAAGGCAGATAGGGGTGAACATGTAGACCGTAAACACGACTTCCAATCATGTCCCAAGCATGTTCAAGGAGATTAAGTTCAGGTGACCTTGCAGGCAAGTAAGTTCATATGTGTGATGTTGTTGATCTAAACAACATCGTTAACAACTCTTTCTCGGGCCTTATCATCCGTAAATGAAGTTAGGACCCGCTTGTTGTACCAGAGGAATGATTATTAGGTAGGTGTACATGTGTGGAGCACATTCATGCCACACATTTCGTGTGTTGTTTCTGAGGACGTCCCAGTTTCACACATAGTGTCCTCCACTGTTCTAAGCAGACTTGTCCTTTTGTCTGAACTGGAATGGCGGACTTCTTCATCATGGGAACTTCTTCACTGGTCAATTTCTGCACGCCCTGATCCTCCTCATGTAGAATATCCTCTGGAGGCTCGCCCTGAGCATCGACCTGAACGTCTTTATCCACTATATCCTGGTTTAAAGTCAGTCACCTTTTATTCTGTCCATGTATGCTGCTTCTGTCCGATGTGCTCTCAGGGCCTCTGCAAAGGTTTACCTCGGTGCAGGTTTGGACATCGTTGGTTTCTTTGCGGTAAACTTGCATTCCTTCCTGATGTGTCCCACTTCTTGGCACTTAAAGCAGGGGGGTTGGAGGACCAGCCGTGGTCAGTAGGAATTGAAAAGGGTGTGTCCACCACCTGGAACGTAATTAGACGTGGAATGTTACTCACTTGGTTTCTAAAACAACCACGTAAGTTCACAGAAGGCACCAACTCATCTGCACTTATTTCGTCCTTGGCAGATATCACCGTTCCACAAGCTCTGAAAAACAAATGCTGAGGTAAAACACAACCATACACCGCAGGAAGCCAATGCCCACATATAAAATACCGTATACGGTCTACCAAAGAAAAGTAAACGACCACATCAGGGTTGATCTGAATAATCAGTAATCTATCTAAAACTAAGATTGTCATGTTTGGAAGTGGGCCCTCGAAAACAGTCAATTCAATATTTTCATTTTCGCTGGGGGGCAGTAAAATTGAAATAGTAGATACATATACCCATCTTGGTGTAAGGTTCCATAGAAATGGTAGGTTCTTGACAGGTATTAAAGCGCTAGTAGAAAATGCAACTAAAGCTATGTTTACCATTTGGAAAAAAGCCCCATATTTAAGCCCACCTATTGATTGCACCCTAAAAGCATTTGATACTATGATAAGTCCGATTCTCCTTCATGGATGTGAAGTATGGGGATTGGAAAACCTGAACATTATAGAAAAAGTACATCTCAGAGTTGTTAAATTTGCTGTTGGCCTTCGAAGCTCCACTCCAAACTTTATTGTGTATGGCGAGTTTGGCCGAGAACCGCTCTACATCAAATTATACAAACGAGTTATTTCTTTTTGGCATAAAGTAGCAACAAATAACCAATACTGTAAACTTTCCTCACTGGTGTATAATTGTATCTCTGTTAATAACTTTGGTTGTCAACTCCGATGGATATCTTTTGTTACAAGAATACTTAATACCTGCGGTTTATCAGAGGTTTTCTCAATCCCCCACAATGTCACCACGTCATGGCAGGTCCTAAAAGTTGAAGCTACTCTAAAAGATCAGTTTTTACAACATTGGCGTAGCTCCATAGAAACTAGTTCTAAAGGTCAATTTTATAAGTGTTTTAAAGATAAACTATGTTTTGAAAACTACTTATACTTATCCAGGGATATATATTTTCCTATATTAAAACTAAGAACTTGCAACAATAACCTACCAATTGAAACCAGTCGATGGCATTCTATTAAAAAAGAGGAAAGAATATGTAAGCTGTGTAACGCTAACGTTGTTGGGGATGAGTTTCACTATCTCTTTAGATGTGAAACTCTTCTCCAACAGTGAAATACCTATCTTGCGACATATATGTGTGATCTCCAAATACATTCAATGTTAAAGAAATTATTATGTAATAAAACTACTAAACATCTAAAGAACCTAAAGTCATTTCTGAATGTATTGTATAAATCGCTTACTTAGTAATATTCAAATGATCATGTCCAGCCACTTGCCATGTATATATTTGTTTACCTATGTATTTATATATTCTCATGTACCACTGTTGGTTGGTTGAGAAATAAACTTCTCTGTCTGTCTGTCTGTCTGTCTGAGAGTCGTGTAACAGATCCTTTCCCAAAACTCTTCTCCAAGAAAGGGAATAACTTGTACCTTCTGATAGGGAACCTCTATGGTCCGACAAACTCAAAGTGCACAATACACTTGCGCACTTCCATGAATGTTTCCGACCTCATTGGTCCATTGGCAGTCGTGTTGACCGTATCCATGTCAACTGAACATGGGGGCAGTCCGAAGACCAAAGGACTCAGAGCCCTTACAGGTAGACCTGCGAATAAGAAAAAGGTTATACTGTATTCAAAATACAGCCTGCAGATCACAGAAGTGTGTGCCATGTAAGTATGCTTTCCCCCTGATCGTAGTTACCATCTACACCATTCCGGCTTCACCAAACTCGGGTGGTGAGTTTGGTATTACCTCACTCATTAACTTTATGAAAACAAATACTGATAGGGAAAACCACTCTGAAATGGATTTATTTACATTTAAGCTGCATACACGTGCATCCCATACCCGGGACGCAGGGGAGACAACTTAACAGTCAAAACACAACTGGGTCACACTGGGATCCCATTTCAAATATATTACATGAATAATATTTACAAAACTACAAAACAAGCATAAATATCATCGATATTCATGTCTATAAGCTTGAAAGAAAGTTGAAAAAGACTCACAGCAAACACGAAATCCCAGCCTAAGGCCTTAAACCTACGCATACTCCATAATCAAGAGGCCTATCCAAATCAGTAACGATCGTTCAAAAAAACACTTCACCACAGTTAAGTTGTGACACTTCCAGGACTAGACGAGCCATCGGAATTAATGACGTGGGTTGGGCCACCTTGCCAGATGGACTCCCTTCTGTGGATATCCTCTATCGTGTCCATGACTGTTCGTGCCACCTTCTTCTTCTTCGTCATGGGTGACTGTGTCCGTTTCCTTTACACAGCTTCTGTCTCCATCTCGGAAGTGTCTGAATCTAGAGGCTGTTCCTGATATGTTGACTACTTATATAATGGAATAGACACACTATATATACATACTTAAAGTTAAAAACCAAATATATACAACAGTAACACTTAGATAAGAGATAAACAAAAAAACATATATTTATGTACATACCAACGTCGTCCTGTATAATATCCATATTCAAAAATCGAATTCCAGGTACAAATCCATATCGTCAGATGCACACTCTAAGCCACAACACAAAACACAAGAACCGACAGCAGGCCGTTGTTTGTTGATTGCATGTCTGTTTCCATAGTTCAGGGTCATATCCAAGTCGTCAGGAGCACAACACATAATCCGGCGAAAACTTCTGACCTCCGGTATATCATTACTGACCTCTGGGATCACTATGGCATCTTCTGATATAGTCGACCCGTGAAGATCCGGGGTAAAATAGGTCTTTAGCAACCCATTCTTGTCATAAAAGGCGACTATGCTTGTCGTAAAAGGCGACTAACGGATTGGGTGGTCAGGCTTGCTGACTTGGTTGACACATGTCATCTGCTCCCAATTGTGCAGATCGATGCTCATATTGTTGATCACTGGATTGTCTGGTCCAGACTCGATTATTTACAGACTGCCGCCATATAGCTGGAATATTGCTGAGTGCGGCGTAAAACTAAACTCACTCACTCACTCATTCTTATATGGTCATAGTATCTTCTGATACTGCCTGCTTAGGGGCAGCTTCCTGAGGTGTGGTTTCCTTCTTCGGGATTTCTTGTTCCTCTCTGTAACCAGTCGGTCCCTTGGATCTGGCCAACACCTCAGCATAACTCTTCCTCTGTGTCTGCATAGGGCGTTCTCTGACTTATCTGCCACCAGTGCATTCCCTACGAACATGACCAACCTCAAGACACTTGAGACACAGGGGTGTTCTCCCCGACATGGTAAACAGTAGCTGGAACACACCATTCCTTGATTGAATGTTAACAAGATGCGGAATCTTGGCTATGTCTTCAAAGGATATCTCCATGACCACATCAAAGATGCCCAACATACATTCAGCATCAAAGTCCTCAGTGCTCACTTGTTCCATGTGTTCCTCCAGGTCAGTTGTGACCTCTGGTATATCAGTACTGTCCTCTAGTATAACTATGGCAGCGTCTGGAGTATTAGTGGTGTTCTCTGGTACTGTCTGTTTAGGGACAGCTCCTTCAGGTGGGGCTTCTTTCCCCGGATTTTCTTCTGCATCCCTATATCCAGGTGATCCCTCAGCATAACTCTTCTTCCTTATATGGGTAGGATGCTCTATAATCCTTCTTGTTCCTGAACATTCTTGGCGAATATGACCCACCTCCATACACTGTAGACACAGAGGCGCCCTCCCTGACATGGTGAAAAGAAGCTGACAACAACCATTCCTTGACTGAATGTGCGGAATAGAGGTTACTTCCTCTAAGGTCATATCAATGACCACCCGATATATCCCCATGAGGCATCCGGCATCGAATTCCTCCATGCTGTTTACTTTCTTCACATCCAACACAACTCCGTAGTCTGCAAAGAACCTTCCCAAGAAATCACAGCCATACTCCTCCGGGAGCACGTAGTTTGTTCACTAAGGCGAAGTGAAGTAGTTGGTTTTTCAAGGGGAGAGCACGAACGCAGTCACCCACACTTACAAATTGCGCACCCGAGTCGTCCACATTTGGGACGATCGCAGGAGTCAACCAAGCCGATGTGCAATGGAAATGTCTCGCCCCGGGCCAACAGCTTTTTGGTGGGGGGGTGAAGTTAATTCCCAGCTTTTCTATTACATTGGCACACAGTGCATTTAACCTTCATCTCTGAGTCTTAAAATACCTATCACAGTGTCCAGATGAAGGCTAGTAACAATTATAATCTAAAGAAAAAGGAAATTAGCATGGATACATTTTAAAACAGTTCATATTGTCTGTAAGTCACTTTTTACACAGTCACATTAGTCTCTTATGTCACTTTATACTTGTATTCCACCACAGTTGTTGTCTTTCATTTCGGAATTAAGAGTTGTTTCCCTTTATATTTCAAGTCCTTGTATATCTGTTCTTTGATTTATATTAGCTCCCAGTCTGACTTTCCCTTTATGTGCTTCAAGTATTCTTCAACCTCACTGTCATCAACGTGCACTAATGGGTAAGGACTGACCTCACGCCTGATCTGTTTCACTCTCACAGTCACAGTCTCCTCTGTTTCCTTTCCCATTTCTCTCTCCCTGAACAATTCGAACACCAGAGTCGAATCGCAGGGGTCAACTAAGCCAATGTTCAATGGAAAGGTCTCGCCTCGGGTCCACAACCTTTTTTTTATTCCAGTTAGCTATTACATCTGAAGACAGTGCTGTTCAACTTTCACCTCTAAATCTTAAAAAATACCTATCACAGTTGTTAGATTAAGGTCTCTGACAATTAGTACTAAAGACGGAAGACATCATTCAGAACAGTTCATATTGTCTCTTGAAATCACAGTTATTCACACTCAGTAGTGTCTGTCTATTCCACTTTATATATATTTATACTCCTGCATAATTGCTTTCTTGTCCATTGGAATCACAAGAAGTTGTCCTTTTTCTTTTACATCAGTCACTACCTGTTCTCTGAGTTTTTTCAACTGCACAAATGTCCTTCCTTTCAACAGGTTCAGATAATTATCAAAGTCTATGACTTGAACATCAACCAAATGAGGTTGGGGGTATTTACGTCTGCTAACTCCTATCACAGCAGTCTCATAATGCAATCACTTCAGTCACATTCTCTATCACGCTCTTCTTTCGTTTCTCTGCTGTTTCCTGATGTGATGGTCCATGCAGGTAGCAAAGGCACTGCAAGTCCCCATGGTCCCTGTTATGGTGATCTACCTTCGGTTGCTTGCGATCTATAGCACATTTTTATGTTAAATTGTCTTCATGAATAAATTATTTATACACTCACGAGCTAGTTGTAGACACCATCTGTGATACTCTAGATATTTTACAGTCCTTCGATGACTGGCTATTTAACTATTTTAATTAATGTGTATGTTAACCTTTTCTCGTCACTATATGGCTGAAATATTGCCGATGTGACGTTAATGTTTTAACTTACTCACTCACTCACTCCTGATGTGATGTCTGTTTCCTCTTTCCTTCAGAGTCATCTGTTGAAACTGTGTTGTCCCGAATCTGTTCTTCAGACTTTTCACACTCTCCATGTACTCATCATCATCTGAATCACTGTAATTATCCACCCGTGTGTTCTTGTCTGAATTGGTTGAAACAACTTGCTCTGTAGACACAACCTGTGATGGACCAGGGCACTTCGCTCGCACATGTCCGAAACCATGAAACCTCAAACATATCGGTGTTCTCCCAGGTACTGTTATCAGTATTGACGCCTTGTCTGCAAACCGTAATATGCGTGGAACGTTTTCCTTTTCTTGTTCAGTTAAAAACATTCTAATGATTCGGACTCCACAGAATATCCTTTCACCTTCTACTTCCACATATTCCATGAGCACTTCCACAACAGCCTCGTTTTCATTACAGAAAGTACTTTTTGAATAAGGGTATGGCGTCTACAATAAAGGGTAAAGTTAGTGGGGACAATGTTATCAAGGGGAAGCCATGGTAACTGTTTTAGAAGGGGGTCAGGAAATGAGTCGTTCAGCAATAAAAAGGCAGATTTAAAAAGTACACCAGGAAAATGTTTGAAGATGACAGGCTCTGTACATATATTGGTAATTAACATTTGATAAAATACAAAACTGTTTACAGGTGAATTGGGAAACAATCAATTGAAATATCTTTAGGATTCTAAAAACGTTTGATTATATGGTGGTATATCATCGGAATGAGGCATTAAATAAGAAGCAAATTCAGCATTAATTTCTTTAAGTGAAAAACAAATCCAATACAAAGCAAAACTAGCATACTTACACTGACTATTATTAATAATTTTATGACGATAGTACAAACGTAAAGCATGAAGGCGAGTAGGTATATGAGGAAAACTGACACCTCCAAATTCCTTATTATTATATAAAACACGTCTAGCTAATGGTTCAAAATGATGGAATCCCCAGAAAAAATCAAATGCTTCGTGTGTGAAATATCAACAAAGTGCTTGGGCATGTGCAATACAGCTGCGACATACCACAACTTTGACATGGCCATGACATTGCAGATAGTGGATTTACCATACACTGATAAAAACCTATCCTGAAAATTGGAATTTAGAACCCCGTGTTATACACTGATAAAAAACTATCCTTAAAATTGGAATTTAGAAGTTTGTTAAAATTTTATCCAGTTATCATCGGGAGTAACATTACTGCGAAAAACAACCCCCCAAATTTTACAAGAATTGGGCCATGATATACCGAAGTGGTCGGCCGAAGAACACCATTTTCCAAAAGATATGGCCTTTGGTTTGACCATGTTTAGACGGGCACCAGTACCTCTACCATACCACTCACTCACTTGAAGCAAACGTCTGACAAAGGGCTGAGGCTGCAGCCTTGCCTGACTTCCTTCCTCACCGGGAATTTGTCCGAAAGGTGACCGTTTACTAACACGGTACTACTAACGTTATTATATAAAAGGCTGACCAGGTTGATAAACTCTGGACCAAACCCATACTGGTGTAGGACCCCTGAACATGAAATCAGGATTTACCCGATCTAAACCTTCTCTTGATCCAAGCAAACAAATGCCATAGAATCCCCTTTTTGCTGCACACATTCAGCTACATTCCGTTGGAGATGTATGTTGTCTGCTATTGATCTGCCTCTGATAGAACATGTCTGATCAGGGTGCACAATCTCAGCAATAACTGATGACAACCGGTTTTGTACAACCCTCGACAATATTTTATAATCTACATTTAATAGGCTGATAGGGCGCCAATTATGTAACAATTGAAGAGTTTGGGGGTCCTTACATAACAAAGAGGTACAACCTAGTTTTTGAGAATTGCTAAGAGTGCCCAAATGTATTGACAAATTATAAATATGTAGTAATGTATCTTGAA